GATAGAATTTTGTATGAGGTTGATAGCAGTGAAATTCCTCGGTAATTACCACATTCAGTCTTGTCCCCCTTCTTATGAATAGGAATAATTATGGATTCCTTCCATTGTTGTGGCATCTCTTCCTTATCCCAAATTAACTGAATAAGCTTATGGATCCTCATATAATGTTAAAAAATAGGTTACTACAAGAATGCAGACAAGGAAATTGCTAATCTTGTTGAAATCCAGCAATATGGAAGAAACACATTATTTACTATTCCATCAATAAATTCGGTAAATACGAGTTAATGGTTTTATTTTAAGTCAACTGACTTAAATTGAAATGCAAGCTGTAGTTGGTTACTTAATTGATGAACTGAATCATCCGCTGAGGTTATGTTGAACCTGAATAAGATGTGATTGATGTACAATAAAGAAGAATGCAGGTGTATGTTTTATGGCATACTTTGCAATTATTCTTAAAATGTGTAGGTTCTACGTATCGATCATTTGTCCATGTATGAAGTTAGAATAGTACAGAAATCATTTATTCCACATATTTGTATAAACCGTGTTCAAAGTATAACGTGAATGCATAACACACCCTTCTTATCATACCAATCCGCGCGCGAATATTATTAACTAGACCTCTACATTTCCCCAACACCATTATGAAAACAGCACTAAACACATCACAAACAAAACCAAAAATAATACAATCTGCTGAGCACAATCGAATGAGAACTATCGACTATTGTTCGACAATTAAATCATTTCATACTGTACAATCGAATGAAATCTTCTTCTTTTGATGCTACTGTGCGTTTTCGGCCTATTAAATCCATTTTTAGGTTTTACCTTCTGAAGAATTCCTGCTTTCCATTAATTCGATTGCTGCAAACTACAGAATTATTCCACATTGTATATATTCAGCTCGAATTCAATTCCGCAACCTGTTGATCTATTCGATTGTTTACAAACAAAAGAATTATTGTTTAATAATCTTAGTCGCGGTCCGAGGTTGCATAACCTGATCTTCTAATCGTTTCAAAATTCGATTGTTGATACCTATGGAATTATACCATGGTGTGTTCATTCGATTCTAATAATTCGGTTGCTTCACTCCGTGGAATAATTCGATATAAAATGCAAATCAATTAATTTCTACATTTTCCACTTTGCAGTCCTCCTACGCAGTTTGTGCCATCTATTCGAAAGAACTGAATAGATTCTGTGGTTGCAAATCACTATTCCTAAAATGTTTGTGTAATCTAAAGCGTGCTGCCTTCTGATTGGGTTTAAAACATTCCGCAAGCAGTTTACAAATATTTTGACATTGCATCTCCTAGATAATGTTTACCAATGAAAAAATAAATAATATAACATAATCATGTTACATCATGTCTTCTTATTTATACACGTTATACGTTAAAACATCAACTCAAAATAAAGTAATTCAGTTTATAATATATGACAATGTGAATTTGAAGGATCTATGGAATGTAAATAAATTCTATTCTATTCTACTAAAAATGAATGAATTGAACAGTTTGTGTAACCTCGAAACGGGTATTATGGGCCTAATCTATGTAAGGAGAAGACAAATCCATTCGATTGCTAACTATCAAGTAACACTACAGTTTGTAATAGGTAACTTATAAGATAGGAATAACTACACTATGGAATAATTCCACAGTTTGCAGCAATCGAATAATTGGAAAAGAATGCAAAGAGAATACGTTACACAGAGGGTCAGAAGATAAAGTTGCCAGATATTTTTTACACTAATATTATTAATATTGCCGTTATTGCTGTTACTATTAAAATTAATGTACTTCAGTTTTACAAGAGAAAAAGGAATATCCCGCCATTAAAGTTTGTGACGTATGTAGAATGTGACGTCAGCCTTCGTTAATTTATGCAGCGCATAGCAACAGTCATTTGTTCGCGCAAAGACTCCCGGGAACTGTGGGACGCCATCTAAAGTTATCATCAGAGAGCAAAAATTGTGACATTATGGCGGAATTTTCAGCGGCATTCAAGGACATTGCATATTTATAGATGTGAAGAGGTGTAAATCTGTGTTATAGCTACATATAACTTTCTTCCAAAAGTTATATTAATTAAAGGTGAACAGACAAGTTTTGGTGGAGTCGAAGCGCAGTAGTGAATTTCCGTTCAACAGCAGGGGTGGGAAGAGGATTTAGGACGGGGACCAGCCGATTTCCTAGGTGTAAACAAACCACAAACGTATGTTCCACCTTATCATATGTTTTTATTTTCCACATACCATTTTGTGTAGTCGAGTGTATTTCAGCAAGGAGTGACTTTTATTGTGATGTTAATAACTCTGATGAGTAATGTTGACAAATAGTTCTAAGCCTAGTATGGCTGAGGACAACATCGCGGAGTACCAACTTCTGAGTGATCCATTCAATAACGTTATTAATGGGTTTAGATAAACGGAGTATTTTGTTTGTTCGTGGTAACATATTACTTGTTTTCATCACAGAAGTTGTTTTGTGAATAGTTTATGTTATATTATTTCAAATTATGGGTTAATGTTACTGGCGTTATAGTTTTTATTGTATGGCACTTTATTGAATACAGTTGAATTTTCTGTTTTAGGAGTGAGTAAGGATTTCCTCATACGGAGGACATATATAAGATAGAGGCAGCTTCTGAATTGCTATAATGAGTGCCCCTGCAGTAAAGCCAGCTCTTCCCACAGCAGGAGCACAGGCCCCAAAGGTTGGACCTAGTGCTCCTCCTGTCACAACAAATAATCCTACTCCTGCAGGAGGACCTAAAGTTTTGCCTGCAACAGGTAGCCAGAACAGACCAATTGCACCACAAAGTGCTAATCATGCTACAAGTGGTGCCATGCCACTTAGCTTAGTTCAGGAACACAAAACGGGTGGTGGCATTAATCAGCAGCCACCACCAGTTCCTCGAACTCCAGAGAAGACCAAGGAACATCCAGTGACATCATTGGGAGTTAAACCCACATCAAATGGTGTTGAAGGATCACCTAACAGATCGACTGCAATTTCCCAACCTGCAATGGATACCAAGAAACTGGATGAAGGAGCTGCTGCTGCACCTGTATTGAATCACTCTTCTGATATTACACCGGTTGCTGTCACACCCCCCCAGACACAGGGGTTAGCAACAGGGCAGCCAGTACAACATAATCCACTTGTGGCTGGTAAGTTGGCACATAGCTTGTAAGATTTATTTGAATGCACATTTACAGTGTGAACTTTTTTCTAGATCTTCAGTATAGTGGTCTTAGGACACATGTGACCAAAAGGAAAAGAACATTTTATGAAAATGTTGATATTCAAAACAAAATTGTTCATTTATTTTTTGAAATATTTTGTCATTAGCAACATGAATTGGAATAGTATTTCATCTCTTAGAAGCCGATTCAGACTTGTTTTGGGTAGGTAGATGTGTTTATTTCTTTTTGTATACAGTAGGATCTGACATTGTGATTACAGGTGCACAGCCAAGCCCAACCAAACCACAGTCTACTGCATTATCAGCAGGTGCAGCAAATCATTCAACACTTCTCAGTGTTAGCAACAAACTGGAGGTAATGGGAGTTGAAGGGAAGCTGTCAGGACCATCACAGTCAGTTGAACCTCCCACTCTGCCAGCACCTCTTGGGTCCACAGCTGTTACTCCAGCACCTTCTTCTACCCAGCATCAGCAGTCTCAGCTTCAGCAACCAGCCCCTCCACAACTACAACCACCGCCGCCACCACCACCGCCACTGCAGCAGCAGCCTCTTCCAGCACCACCTCACCAGCAGCAGCAATCATCACCGTCGGCACCACAGCAAACATCACCACAGCAACAGCATGTGCAGCCATCAGCACCACCTCAGCAACAAGTACCTCTGCCACCAACTCAACAGGAACACTTTAAGCCAGCATCGGGTTTACCAGATAACACTAAACCCAGAACAGAGGCACCGAAACCTGAGTTCAAGGTGGCTACGCCACCAAGAAATAGCAAGAGGAAAAGAGAAACTAAGGTAGCAGTCGACCATATAAAGCTTAATTATTTGGTATAGATTATTAAAAATATTAATTTTAATCTGTAAGTAGACAGGTGTGATTTGGATATTTTCTTCAGAAATAGAGCTGTCTTCAAATATTTTGTCACATATTTTAAACATACAGTAAATGTTATGTTTTAAAATATGTAGGTTTGAAATTGTTCTCTCTCAAGAACTAAACATTCAGTACATAGTAAAATTTGTCAGATACCTATTCACAAAATCAGACTGATTATGTTAATTTCTCATGTCCTTATAGCCATATGTTGTTATTACTGAATACAGTGAAACCTCTATCCATCGTTCCCGGAACTATCGTTTTCCCGGATGCATCGTCCGTTTTGTTCGGTCCCGAATACATCCCATATAAAATAATGTTACATTTTCCCGCTTCTATC